ATTGCGCGCGCGCGTTTCTCACGGAACGGACGCAGACACGCACACCACCTTTTCCCTTTTCGCGACCCCTCTTGCTTCGCCCCGCGTGATGCGCGCAAGCACGTTGAGTTCGTTCGCACTTACGATCGAAAGCTTGAAAACAGTCAACTACTTGTCGTATTTTTTTTTATTTACTGTGCGTGTGTGTGTGGGGGCACACTCGCGCGAGCACATTAAATTTGCACGTTCACGAACACTGCGTGCCATGCGTGTTACAAGTGATACGGAGCATAAATCACTCTTCATTAGCGAAAGTCAAATCAAACGAAGTTATTAATGTGCGCGTCCCTCGGTAGCGGCGTAAATTTTCACATTAGGTTGGTGCGAAAGAACGTCACGTTTGCTAAAACGAAATTTAAACGAAATTATTCAGCTGCGAAGTGTATCCGACAACTTTCTCACGACAGTTTTTCCACGATTTTTAAAACAATCTGCCGCGATTCGGAGAGTATTTCTTCGGAGGTACAACGAAGTTCTTGCATTTCCCGTAGAGAAATCTTACGCGCCAATAGAATCTTTTCTCAACGAATAAACAGAATCGCCATCGTCAATGCAACGACTAATTAATCAAATCCGTGTCATTTGGGAAATCGGCCTCCGACATTTCTCGCTATTCCGTGGCTGAATGCGTTTTTCTCGCAGCCGGAAATATCTCTTCCTCCCGGAATATGCTGGATCTCAATCGATCGCGTATAATAAAGAGGGATAAGTGATTCCGCATAAATTCCCCGAGGCGAAGATATGTCGGTCGATTTGAATCGCACGACTCTCGGAAAAATGGACTCTCCGCCGTCTCACTCCGTGGCTTTCCATATAAGATGAAAAGGCACGTGGCGCGTTACAATTTACACGAAGTATAATAACGATATAATTGCATCTAATTGATTCCTCTCCGGCATTACGCAGCGATAATATGCGCCCGCGGCCGGCCGCTGAGCCGAGTGAATCACCCCAGTGCAAACTTTTCTCGACGTCAGATTCGCTGGTGAACGGCGGTAAACGTTATGCAAGATCGTCGCTGCAAGCGTGTGCACAAACATAAAAACAAGATCGGCGGGCGAAAAAAACGGCTCTGAGAAAAGCGACGACGATGAATCGCAGCGCGGCGTAATTCGCCACGTGCGGCGTAATTGGTGTATGTGTGTTTTTTACGCGCTGGCGGGGGATCGACCGTCAGCGGTTCGTCGATCGGCGAATCCCGCGCGAGTATTTCCGAATTTCCAGAACAGCCGAGCTTACGCTCATCCAATTTCGCGCTAACGTCACTCATCGTCGTTTTAATTGGCGAAAGACGCGCATCGCGCGATTCTGAATACTGCGCACGATGTATCCGTTGCGTCATGCAGAAATAGAAATTGTAGCAATGACGTAAGGAGAAGTTGACTAAACTCCGGTCCACATGGCAGATTGAATATTCTTTCATAGATGATTGCATTACGATAGATTATACATACCATTGATAAAGATAAATTTACATTCAGAAACGGGACGGTTGCTCTTCCACGTGGAACGACTATAACTTGACAGATTTGCTCGTGAAAGACATTTCGACGGAATTGTCGGAATTGACTCCGTGACTCCCGTGAACTGTAATTTCCGGCGGTGAAACGGGAAACTGCCCCTAAGGATCCATTAATTCCATGAAAGACGAATCCGTTCGTTTATGAGCGTCTCGTTAAGACAATCGCGAAAGCAACGAATGCAACAGCCGACCGGGAAAGTACCAAGTAATTTTGACCGTTTTTAACGCCAAATTTTGTACTGTGTGAATGAAATCGTTTCGATTTAATAATCGAGAAAAATCAATTGTTATTAATTCTAACAAAGGTAAATAAAAGTGGAGAGTTAAATTGGAATTCAGCTAAATAGTTTTCAGTGCTACTTCGTATTTAGTTCGCATTTGTCTCTGGTATTTCGGACAGTGGCGGATTGACCGGACTCCACCTGAATGTCTTTCACAATAAACATCCGGCTTTCTTATCGTCTTATCTCCCGCGCTCCGCTCGCGGCATAAAACTCGTTCGTTATGGTGCGCCGTTGACTGTCGCTTTATAGTTCGATCCGAAAACTCGTTCTCGCACGTCATTTTCCCTCTCGGTCCACTTTTATCGCGCTCTTTTCGCGACACACACTTGTCACGCACGAAGAGAAAATGATTGTTTGAATCAACAAGCAAACAGAATTTTTAGTTCTAAGAACCAAATTTTTCACTTACAAGAACCAGAAATTTCGTTTCCTTCAACCATAATGCATTTCGGTTCGTTCATGTTAATTCAACCGGTCTATTTTCTCTGTGTGAATTGCAAATTTTAAGGCACACGATGAAGGATTTCTCAAAATCGGACGAGCTAAAAAGTCACTGGTGATTACGCGAACACGAGAATTAAGGTGCGCTCGATGTTGCGTCGATACGCTGAAAGGAGGATTTTCTAATAAATACTAATAAGTTTGGCGAATGTTTACTGACCAAATATTTGATTACTGCAATCCAATAATTTAATTCCGAATACCGAATATGCAATATACAGAATTATTATACTACATATACAATATACGGATCTTAATTGTTTGGTTGCAGTAATCTATTTGGTCGGCAAATATTCACCAAATTTTAGTGTCCATTACCAATTCTTTTTTCAATACATTCCCGGCGTTAACTCACCTACGTTTACGGATTCAAAAGGATCCTGATAAGATCACGATAAGACTACGATACATTCGAGTAGATTCGTTCAATAAACAGAGAATTCAACCACTTTCCCTGAAGACTCAAGTTTATGCGACGACGTAGATTCATCGCAAGGCTAATCTGCGTCATGGAAGAAATACTTTCTTCGAACCGATTGAGGAACTAAGTGTGAGACAGAGAAAGAGCGAGAGAGCGAGAAGTTAGTGTTGTAATTTTGTTTACATAAGTGCGTCACGCGCGTCACGCGCCTAATCGTCGGCGATTCCCCAAGAGTATTCCGACTCTGCTCTCTGCCGCTCTCTCTCTCTCTCTCTCGCGTTCCCCGGCTATTAGCTCTGTATTCGTTGACGATCGATGATTTATTTATGATTATGCCCATTCGTTTGCGGCGAGACATTTACGAGGACGACGTGATGCGGGGAGGTGGGACGAGGTGGGACGAGATTAACACACAGATGAAAACGCAACGCGTCTCAATCAGGCGGACGGGCGAGTAGAATAGAGTGTAATCGCTGTCTCTCGCCTAGGAATTCTTCTTGCGAGCCGCCGCCGGCGGGGAAGGCAAGGGGCAGGGAGGAAAAAAAGCCACCGGAGGGGGCCACCGTGTCATTATGTGTGACACTCTTAATAGCGGCAGCCCACGGCAGCACGCGTATCGCGCAACCGTGGCTCGCTGGTTGATGCAACCGCCGAGCGAGTTTGCGCAGCTCCCGAACCTCCTCAGGGTCGCCTAATTCGTCGGCGGTTTTTGCCACCTACCCCGGGACTTCGCTTTCTGCTCGCGACCTTAACTCGCCCGGCGGATGTTCGTGGATTCCAGGGGATCGCGACAGGTGAGCGAGAGACGATCCTCTCTCGGTCTCCCAAACGCGTACGCGTGCTATCGAGAAACGACGCGAATGACGAGCCCTTTTTCGTCGTTTTTAAGAGAATAAGCACCGGAAACGCGGCGTGTACGCGGCAGCAGCGCGAAAAGTCGAGAGCGGCGTCGTCACGCGGGCTCCGCGCGGCCGTCAAAAATAGCCTGGAATTTTGGCAGGCCCCGCTCGTTAACCTTAGACAAGTTCGCGAGGGATATCGGTCGCGCCCGCGACGATAAGAGGCCGTGACGGCGCGCATACCTCGCGACGACCCTCCGTTTTCGTGCCTCCTCGTCAACGATCTCGTAAACAGCGCCCGAAGCGATTCTCAACGTCATTATCCACCGACCTTGGCACATAGCGACTTTTTACGACCATTGAACCGATTTCAATGACGCGGTGTCGCTTTGAGGATCGGAGAGAAAGAAAGATTCGGCGAAGGCGAGCCGAGAGACAGATACCTTGGATCGAATTCGCCGATCCGGAAGGCGTCGCGGAAGGAAGCGCTCTCTTCTCCGCTAGGACGCGGCTACTCGCGCTCGCGTAACCGCGTTCTCTAGCGCTCTATAGCGTGCGGGCTCGTTCCGGGAGTCCCCGGTCCCCGACCCATGTCGAGAGCCGACGCGCGAGTCGGTCCCTCTCTCTTTTTCTCTCTCCCGCTCGACTTCCCCGCCTCGGACCGTCGTCTCTCTCTTTCCCTCTGCATTTCTGTCTTTTGTCTACGTACGCTAGCGAGGAAGGAAAGCCAACGAGACCGACGAGGACGCGTTGATACGCGCTTAGGGGGAGGAGAAAGGATACGAACGCGAAAGAAGAAAGGCGAGGAGAGCTCGCGAAGGAAAGAAAAAGGAAGACACGCGAGAGGAGAAGGAAAAAGCGCGTTGGAGAGAAAGAGAGGCTCGACGCACACAGGCACGCACGAGGAGACGAGAGGGCGAAGGAGGAACGACAATCGCGAATAACACGCGGGGGGTCTCTCACGGAGGACGACGACGGAGGGAGCGTGGACCGAGGAAGGGTGCGCGCAGGGACGAGAGAGGCGACGGAGGAGGTGGCGGTAGTGCAGCAGCGCGAGGGGGGTCCGCCGAGAGCGACCGACGTTGGAGGGGACCGGGGGGTCGGTGGGGGTCTGGCAAGGAGCGCGGGATCCCATTGGCTCGCGGCCGGGCCATATTATAAGGCGGCTGCAGTCCGCGCTAGTTAATGTTAGCTCGAGCCTCCACGAGAGACGCATCTCTCTTACTCGCCGCCGACGGTACTACCGTACACACGCACGTCTCTATATAGCGCCGCAGTACGCCGCGTAACGCGAGAGAGAGAGAAAGGGAGAGAGCCCCTCGACGTATATACACCGCACGCGAGAGAAAGAGAGACGCTCACACACAGGCACGAGGTGCGTGTATAGAGAGGGAGCGGGCGCGGATAACGCACGTTGATAAGTCGCGCCGCCGCTGACCGCGCAACCACATCAGAGAGAGAGAGAGATCTCGCGAGATCATCCTTCGATTTTCCACTGCGACCTTTCGGCAGAGACACGCACGACGCACACGTCGTATGTACGGAGCGCTCGAGATCGCGTTGTAGAGAGACGAGCGGACAAGCAGAGGAGATCCAGAGTGGTTCTTCCGCGTACGTCAGCCCAGTGTTCGTCGTTGCAGCTCATCTCGGGGTCGCGTGTCGCGAACGATCGTGGGAGCGAGTGCCAAAAGTGAGAGAACTGAAGACGAGAGGCCTAAGTGATCGAGGAAGAGCAAAGCCGAGAAAAAGAGAGATAGAGAAGGAAGAGCGAGACAGAGAGAGAGAGGCTAGTTTCTTTGGACACCGGCGAAAGGAGAGCCAGAGACGCGCGAGATAAGCCAGGACCGAGCGCGAAAACAAACAACGAAGTAAGTCCCCTTCCCCTCCCCATTACCCGTTAAAAATCTCGCGATGCGCAGGCCGACATTCGAGAAGCGGCTCGGCCTGTTAGACGCGTTGTTCATATTACGATCTTATCAGCGACACCCGACATGCGTGACAACTGTTTCGCATTCGTGGCCTTCTGTTAAATATTTTACGACGCCGCGTATAGTTTGTTAATCATGGCGACGCTTCAGCGGGAACGTGCAGCGAGAAAAGGACTTCGATGCTTGCAAAGATGAAAGTACTGCCGGGACGTGCGGCAAATTTTGATTGTTCGCCATTCCACGAGACCGCCGCTCTCACGAGGATTCATCTCTCGGCCATTCGATATTGAGCCGACGAAGATGACGCTCCGTACTCTGCTTCGTGAGAAATACGAAATTCCCTCGCGACTTTTCCGAGATTTAAGTGTTTCGGTTAGAGGAAATCCTCGCAGCAATTGGCAAACCGAGAATCGTTCTCAGTCTCGAAGGTATTCCGATATCGGGAAACGGTCTCTGATCTCGTGGATCGTTGTCAACGTGTGGCCGTAAAAAACGCGGATAGAAAGATTTAGCACGTCGTGTTTTCTCAGTACGATCGAAGCGAGGGCCAAGAGCAAAGGAAGCAAACAGGTGGTCGAGTGAAACGAGAAGCGTCGCTCGTGTCCGCACGTTACTTCCCGCACGGGAACTTCCTGTTAAACTTCCCCTCGGATGTATCATTCTAAGATGTATCAAAAAATACCGAAACCGTCCCGACCGAATTGACTTCTATCGGCACGTCTCACATGAATCACCCGATGACCGAATTCATATACATATTTATCGGATTATTATACATCTGTTTAGAAAATATCTCTTAAATATTTATGAGCCAGCAAGGATCGGCGGTGCGAGTAACGTACGGAATTCACGGTGCTGAACGATTATATTTATCTCGACAATTGATTTCGAAACAGTCCGGATGGAAGATTCACGACGCGTTGTCTCTCGACGAATTCCGAAATCCGACGGGTGTTTCTCGTGACATTTCGTGCAACTTTTCCAAGACCTGGGAAAATCGCGAACTAATTTCAGGAGCTTAAAGAGCCAGTTTCCCCTCTGCACCCCGCGATCTCTCTCGGGCTGTTCGAAGATGTCGTTCGCGATATGTCCTGGTATCTCGGGGAAAGGGGAAAAATGCATCTTGCCTCGCGACACGCGTTGATCTCACTTAAAACAGTTAGCGTGTAATTTGAAGTGCTAAAGAGAGCGGCGGTTAACCCCTCCTCGTGCACTTGACCTTTACGCATTCGCGCGGTACTCGAGCATTCAAGGGTGCGGATGGTGGATATCTCGGTGTTAATTTCTGTCTGGTGTCGCGTCATCTTGAGGTGGGTCTACATCGAGCGGACGAACACGAATGTTTCTTTCTTTCTACGTTAAACGACAAAACTTGTTCGCTTGTCGACCCGGCGAATCACTGGAATTTGGCGATGAAAAGAAGGAAAAGAGGAGATGTAATAATAGCCGCGCGCGTACGAAAGCGAAACAACGCGCGGATTCATAGAGCGAGCAATGGTGAACAACGAACGCGCGGTGTATTCGCGTCCGCATTGCGCGCGAACTTTCTTTGATGCGCCGCTTCATGAGCGGATCCTACCGAACGTGCCGCTCGCGTTCGTTACGGCTTATACGTCTTCCGAACTGTAACAGCGAAAGCTCTCTCGTATTCGTTCCTACGTTCGTTCGCACCTTCTCTATCGCGCGATTCGCAACCAAATCCGCTCTGATTGCACAACGTTATTTCCGTATCGCGATTTTTCCTCCCCCCTTTTTTTTTGTATAATTCTCACTCTTCTCACTATCGTTGCGTTATCGGCACACATGGAATGTTCCTTCGACGCTTCGGTTTCCCGGGACAACAATCGATACTCGCGCTCGTTAAGTTCTGAGCGAGAAAGAAGAAGCCGTGTTTGGAAACTCGATAACCGCGGCGATATCGCGATATTGCGTCGCGATTTGCACTAATTTTACGCCGGCCATTCCAATGGACAAAATCAGATGACGTTGTGTAAACGAAAACTGTGGAATCGGGAACGCTTGTTATCTGTTCGCCGTTCTTCCTTTCGTTCGTTCGTATCGGCGAAACAGTATCGGTTTAATTCGCCGAACGACGCGTCTCGAATAGAGACACACATTCGCGCGTTTTCCGTGTCGATGAGACGAAAATCTCCCGCTCTCTTGCACCGGCTGTTTCGATAAAAAAAAAAAAAAAGGGCTGGGAAAAGGCGAAAGCACAGCTACATGCGCTAGGTGACCGACCATGGACCGCGATTAAGACACACCAACACGTGCACGTACGCACGTGTGCGAGAGCGCGCGCGGCCTCCTTGCTCGCTTTCAGTCACTCGTTCTCCTTGTCCTTCTATCGCGGCCCACGCTCGTCGCTCGCCAGGACGAGATGCGCTTTTTCTGTAGATCGATCGTGGGCTTGCGATCAAAATCGGGACCGTGTCGCGCAGTCCGTCCACCCACGCCGCGTTCGGAGGATTCTCTTTTCTTTTCTTCGTTTTCTACTGTATATCCTAGTCGGATGAAACTACTATTTGTGCTTTTTGGATTTACGGTATTACCTCGATCGATCGAATTAAATTATCGCTCTGAATGCAAAGAATACAGAACCAAGTGGAGTCGACATTAATTCGGTGTGATAGACAGGATTTGAATGGCGAGATGGAGGCACGATGCCTTGATGTTTTCGGAAATGCGTGGAAGCATATATTGTCCGGGAGAAATCGCAAGATCGCGTTTATTTTGGGCTAATCAAGTTACAACGGCTATAAATATCCCGACTTCGGATCGTCGCTAAATCACATCGATTCCAAATAAACCCTGTCGCTATTTCAGAGCGCGCAGCTCTAATTCGTTTTATTTTCACACTCGCGCACATTTCACATATACGGGCGATCGATGCTCGTTATTAATACTGCATTGAAACGCCGAACGAGATATCTGCGCCGAGAGCCGCATTTAACCAGCGATTTATTAGCTAGATTTCTTGGAACTCGCCGATTTAAGAAGGGAAACAGATAGAGACGGTGTTTTAAAAGCGCTCACACAGCGAGAAAAATATCTGGCATCTGTAACTATAACTAGCACAGTGAAATAATTATAGTCCGTTTTAAATAATCCGTTGTAAATGTTACCGGACAGTGTCAGTAATAATAATTTTATGCGCGTATTGTTACTGCAATATTTTTGTGATTTAAATCGTAGGAAAGGTAAAAGTTGAAACCGGAAATAACTATAATTTCTCTCAGTGTAGTTTCGATTCAGTTACGAGACACTCCTGATATTCTATCAAGGCGAGGCTGCGATCGAGTGGCGAATCGCATACGCGAGTGAAAAATCGAGATCCCGCGAATCGTCGTTTCCGCGATACACGCGCGAATCCGGCGACCGCGCGATAGATTTAGTTACATTCGGCGGAATTGATACCTCGAAGGGGAGGAAGGAAGCAGAAGAGCGCGCGCGTCGAACACACCGAGGAGGAAGACGAGACGGGACGAGGCGAAGCGCAACGGTGAAAGGGAAGGGCGTGTTGTGGCGGTCTATTTTTAGAATTCATTCAGAGAATCTTTTGCTCTCGCACAGCCGGGCGAGGGCCAAACGTGAGCCCGACGACGACGACCTACTCGTGTGCGTGCGTACGTGCGGGCGTGCATGCGTTCCTCTTCCCTCGACGGTACAGCTTTAGTCGCTCGTTAAACGCGGCCTGAATGCAGCTACGATGCGTGGCGATCTAACAGGTGTGAAGAATTCGAGTTCCCAGGCAGGCAAGCCCCTGGGATCGCCTGACGCAATAGTTCAGGATGTGATCTTATCGGAGGTGGACGGTCCTCCCGTCTCAGATTTGACGAAGGTCCTGTCAATGGAGTGTTTGTTCTCGGGGGATACTCGTGAAAAGCCGGACCGCTCGGAGAGTCGATCGTCGTGAAAAATTTCGTCATACATCCGGGCTAGTTCTCTGATACGCATTCTCTTTCTCAAGTTCCTCCTCGATATCCGAAAACCTGTCCCCCTCCCGCCCGTCAGACTCGCTTCTCTCGAAATGACACTTATTAGAGACGAAATTTCACGTCGACTCTTTTTCAGGCGAGTTCGCGGAAATCGATCATCTCAGAAAGACCGATCGTAAAACGGCGTCGGGTATCGTCCGTGTCGCTGCAGTGAGTTTTCTCGACTGATATTAAGTCCGCTTGCTCAGGGACAACTACACCTTAACGTCTTCGCTACGTTTCATTAAATCGGACGAAAAACGGAGAAACTGATTTTCGATCGCCGGCACTGGCGTGGCATTCCGTGATCCCGGACCTCGCGTACGGTAATCTCGTGATCCGCTCTCCGAGACGCATAAATCTCTCGCCGCAGAGAAAGAGAGAGAGGGACAGAGAAGAGGCGAGCGGGGAGGGAGAGGATGGGACACCTGTGGCATGCTTTCCATCAAAGTCACTCATCGGCCCCTGCGAGAGCGCTTTCTGCGTTAGCAACGCGATTCTTCGTGCCGCGGCTTTTCAGATCTTTCGAGTGGGGCACCACGTGTTCCCAGATAGTCCCGTGTAGACGCGATACGGGCAGAACGCATCAGCCGAATAACCTCTCCGGAGTTACTCCAGAGACGGCTGAGCATGGCTCTATTTTTAGAGACGATCGAACACAAGAAAAGGGAGTGTACACGAGAGAGAGAGAGAGATAGAGAGAGAGGCCGCCGATTGACCTGTGCGCGGCCTTCCCGGAAGCACGACCGGGGCCACGGACGACGAATTCTCTCCCGTCTCTCTCTCTTTCTTCTTGTGACCGAGCCAGAATAGGTCGAGCGTCTACGATCGTCTCGTAGCCTCCTGCGATGTTCGAGCCGCGAGGATTCGATATCCGCGACCAGCTTGCCGAGGAGTCGCAGAGAAAGAGAGAGAGAGAGAGAGAAAGAAAAGGAGACGCGGTATCTCCTTCGTGTTTTACGTACGCGCTCCGGCTCCCTCGGTAAGTAAGGAAAAGAAAAAAGGACGGATTTACCGTTCCCGACGCGTTTCGGTAAACGAGATCGATTTCGCGTAGCGGCCGATGTTCCGTGAATCAACAATCCGCTGAGCGAATGTTCTTACTCGTGTTTTTATTCGCGCGTCGTTTTATTCGACTTGTCGGCCGGATCGCGCGAAATATATATATCGTAGCATCTCGTAATTCAGTGTTCAAGAACACGCTTGTTGAGTGAGACGCGGACGAGAGAGAGAGAGAGAGAAAGAAATATTTATTTGTTATGCACTGGCAATTAATAACAATACAGAGGAAATTCACAAAGCGAAGACAGTGGAGATGCAAAAAGTTCAAAATCAGTAAATGAAAAGAGAAAGAAAAGAAAAATTATGGTAGGAATTAGAACTGACTCGAGACAAAATAAGACGATCGTAAAGTTTAATCCTGAATATACTGAGACTGTCAAGACTACGTAGGGCAAGATAAATTAGCAGGGTAAATTATTCCAGTAACAAGCAGAGATTACCGGGAAGGATCTGTTACAGGTTTCAGTCCTTATACATGCGGGGACAGCGAGCAGATCGGGCGTGGCTCTTGTTAATTTTACGGATTTATCAATTCTATAATTATAAGTTGTACGGAGCAAACTCTGGGCAACCTGTTTTTAAGAGAGAGAGAGAGAGAGAGAGAGTCCGACGAGCCACAACGGACGATACTGCAAATATCCGCGAGCGCGTGCGCCGCAGAAAGTATTATGATCAATCAAGTCCGCCGCGAACGCGGTCGCAGGGAGAGCGAGCGAAAGAGAGAGAGAGAGAAGTTTCATAATTTCCGCGGCCGGAGGCCACTCGCCGCTTCATCGAACGCTGACATTTCTTCAGGGAGATCCGCAAATATCGCGGCGTCCTTTACTTAGCGCGCCGGCAACGCGCTCCCGGCAATCGAGCGCTGCTATTTAAAGAGAACGCGGAATGCATTTGCCGCGGCGCGCGTTTTACAGTTTGCTTGGCGAGCCGGCCGGGAGGAATCGCGTTAGACTGTGCTCTCGCACGCTCGCTCGCGCAATGCCACTCGAGGGCAGATCCTCGGTAAAGCAGCCCGTCGAAATCTTTAGGCATCGCGAAGATTATTCCTTCCCGGTCGCGAAAACGCTCCGTCGCGGGTTATCCGCTTTCGATCGAGCGGACGAAGCGCGAATCCAGTGGGGGTTCTCGTATCGTGTCGTATTTGAACGTACGGGAAGACGAAAAAATCACGGACGAGCTGGGCAGGTTTGTCGAGAAAAGACTATTTCTCGTCCACATGACCGCCGATAGTCGGTCGATGGACGTCCGTTCACGGTGCGATATTTCGAAAACAGGAAACGGAACCTATTTATACAGCGGACGACCACCGTATCCTCGACGAGGCTGGCCGATACGTCTCGCACGTTCCGTTACGATCAATTATTTATCTTTCGCTCTTTCTCCCTCCCTCCTTCTCTCTATCTTCAAGAGTGATTTATCCGCTTTAAACTTTCTCGGGGAGTCTCGGTATCGCGCCATTCGACCGGGCGTAAATTATACATCTCGGAAGACGCGCGGGAGCACGCGTGATCTCACGTCCGTCCTCTACGCACGAGCGAGCTCAATCGAGCTCGGATCGATCGCTTTTACTCCGCTCGGGTTACCCTCGCGGTGAATTTACTCTCGGATTCCTCTACCTCTCGCGCGAACTTACCTACTCCACGGTAGGCGTATGCGCGAAATATCTCCTCGTTAACCCTTCAATCGTATCATGGGTCAGATAGACACGGTCGGTGTGTTTGAAAAAGCTTTAGCGAAAAGAAGTGTGTCGAAAATTGGATTTTTTGATTTTCGGTAACTTAAAACTTGATTTTCTATAAATGTCAAACGTTCAAGTAGAAGAGTTAAAGTTGATAGAACCATCAAGAGAGTCAATATGACGACCTTGTTTGCGGTACGAGCGACTTTTTCGAAGTGTGCGGTCGAAGGGTTAATAATTCGCGTTAAATTCGTCGAATCTCTTCGCGATGATCCTCGGTCCGAAGATCGCGGTCGACTCGTCGCAAAAAACGCCGATAGAAGTGTCTACAAAAAGAGAGAAATCGCATCCTCACCTCTTAAGCATGTCAAGTGACGTCGCACGGCCGACGAACGGCGACTCGCTCGTCGTCGTCTTTCTAGCTTTTCGCAATCGTCTCCGCCCTCCTGCGTAAACTTGCGTATCAACGCGTGGATAATTGAGCCTTTGACTAGCCTCTTCCGTCTCTGTAACGAAGAGAGAATATATTCTGGCGTAACGAACGGATCTTAGTTAAAAACAAGGTGACCCGGACGTCCCGATTTTTCCGGGACGGTCCGGACTTTTTTCTAACGGGATACCGATTTGTCCCAAATTCGACCGATCTATCCCGGTTTAGAGAATTCATTTCGTGGAGATAAAAGTCTCGCTAATTAGAAACTCGATAAAGCAAACTCTCACATCGGATAGCGGAGCTACGCTATTCGCTAGTCATCTTATTAAAAAGGCTCGACAATCTTATAATTTTTCAATTCAGCATCAACGATTTATATTACTAGAGAAGCCCCGATATTTATCTCTTACCTCTAAACCAAGCGAAGTTACGAGAAAAGTGTCGCCGTAAGCTTCCTGAGACACACGTACAACACGAACCTTTCGAAATTCCCAGAATCGGCCGGCCAATATGGCCGCGGCATTTCTCGGCGATAATTAAAAGACATCCGGCGAACGAGCGTGCTCGCACGCGCGTGTCGCTGGCTGTACGCGCGATTTAAAGCGCACGGAGACCGCGCGAGAAATCGGATCGAGAGGGGCAAGGCGAGGGAGAGGAGAGTCGTCGATGATAAACTCCCTTCGGGAAGAAGAAACCGAGCCAACGACATCGCGCGCGAACGGAGCGAGGCGAGCGTGCGCGAGAGATCCGGTACCGCCGCGGCGGTGCACGAAGCGAGAGGAGGCGATAGACGGGGAAAGGCTACGGTTTCTCGTAATGCGAACCGTAGGACGCCAAGCTGTCTGCCGGGACACCGGTATAACCCCACTACCCGGTCGCCGCGAAACACCAGCGGTGGTGGTATTCGCGCGGTCGTGTTCCCGAGCGCGCGGAGGGGACTGTCCCGCGCGTTTCTCTCGGCCGACTGCCGTCCTGCTGCCACCTAGCCACTGTCCTCGCGAACTACCGCCTCTACAGGGTGTCCCGTAATGTTAGAATCGCATTGGTCGCGATCGAGTTTCCCGCTCTGAAAGCCGCTTGATCGCACGCAGTTTCGTATACTTTACTGTGAACGAAAACTTGAAAAAAAAGGTTATAAGACGCAGACGGGTCGCCACGTGTCTGGGAAAAAAAAAAAATCGGGAAAAGTCGTGGAAATTTCAGTTGATTAGGGAAAAGCCTCCTTTCTCAAGAAGAGAGCTGGAATTTTGAACTTTGCTCACAACTCTCTCAGATACTCTTACTTTCAAAGGGTACTTGATTAAAGTACCAATTGTTTTGCTATTATATCTAACATCTTTTATAGTCAAATTTCGTATAAAAAATTTGTATACTTTAAAAACTATTTCCTACCGATCACAGTTGATTATTCTCCTTACGATCGAGGGATAATCGATTGTGATCGATCAATTTGCTTATTGCTTACGTTTTTCTACATGCCACTAGCCTCACTCCAGAAAAGTGGGATCTCGAGATACGGGGTATCTCCCCCCCTCCCCGTTACTCCCTCTCTCTTTCCCACCGAAAGGATCGATTCGATCATTGGATCGTCATGGTGTCGTCGTTGCGTCAGCGTGCGAGGGTTGAGAACGCGCGTACTATCTCGCGTATGTAGGGCGGAACCAGCTCTCTGTTGCCCGCGTCTGGTCGTACAGAGTCTATTCGATTCCACTTGTAACGTGCGTCGTAGCGAAGACAGTAATCAGGAACGCTTCTACACGGGATCTCGGAATCCGCGAACTATCCCTTCGACGAGATGCCCGCTATCATACAGAAATGACGAATGCTCGTTGACGCGAATTTTCTCTCATTCCAGAAACAAGATCTCCTATTGGATATGTTCCATAAAAAAGTGTTGCAATATTTTTCTGCGCACTACTGTATATCTCAGGTAATCAAGAGCCACAACGTCGAGTCGACTCGTTGCTGTTGTTCTCTTTTCTTCCCGATGTGCGACGCGTTTTTGATAATTGATGTAACATCTACCGACGTGAAAAAAAAAAATACTACCGTGATAGCCCAACAAGTTTCAGTTCAGACGGGGTTTACGTATCCCCTCGAGATCGAGGAGGAGGAGGCGGCTTAGGCACTCTCGGGGGCCGTGTAAATAAATCGCGGTCGGTCCCTCGGGGCTTACCACCGTGGTCGTTGTCGTCCTCCTCCTTTCCGCCACCCCCCGCCGTCCGTACACATTTTCCAACCGCGCGTTTACGCCGCGTGCGTCCGCGACGCGCCAGAAAGACAGAAGGTTCTCTGTTGGCGATGCACGGGATACAAACACGGCTCCACGGTGTTGTAGAGTCGCGAGCGCTCGACGGTAGAAAGTCTCGCCTTGGAGGCGGGCTGCTCTCTTGAGCCCAGGGTGGCGGCGCAAGTCCGGTCTCGTTGTCCGTGTTGTCGATGATGAGAGTCTCGGCGACGGCGAAGAACGACGCGTTAGCAAAAAATATCGTCCCCTTGTTACCGAATTACAATGTCACTCGGAACGCATCGCGCGGTCTATCGAGTTCTGTTCGAGGTCGGTTTTCTCATCTTGCCGCGCGTTTACGTCGGTTCTTTGAAGCGACTCGGACGGACTTGCACGCCGGTGTCGCTTGATGTTAAATTCAACATCATTGTCTGTATTTGTACGTTCGTGTAGAGCACTTCGTGACACACGGTCGCAGGACGACGATGACGGGAGGGAATGAGATATCGAGCGAGATCAGAGAAAGAGCGAGAAGGTGAGACAACGCACGATTTACGATTCAGCGGTTTGCGTAGTCTGAAGGCAGGAGCGGGGTTTACGATGGGCGTTTATCTCCGGTGCGTCTTTCCGCACGGGCGGAAACGAGGACGATCTCACAATTTTCACCCATTACGAAAAACGTTCATCGAGATGAAAAGTCGCGTCCTCTCTGTCGCCCGCTCTCCGAATTTCGCGAAGCGCGCCGACCGCTTTCGTAAAAGCGCGCGCACACACACGCAGAGGCTCGGAAAGGGACAGGGAAAGTACGTGCGAAGTGTCGGCGAGACTTTTAGCGACGCGGATGATGATCTTTCGTTCGAGCACCTTTCTAATTGCGTCTCGCTCGGGATCCGCGCCGCGCGGCTCGCGATTAGCGTTTCGAGGTTTCTTTCGCATTGCCTCTTCCCGACGATCGCGGCGGAGAGAGAGAGGTTCGTTGCACCCGCAGCTCGCGCCGCAACGAGATGACGCGTGCACACACAACGCGTCGTTTTGTGCGTGCGTCCGCGACTCGCGCTCGAAATCGATCTCTCTCTCTCTCTCTTATCGAGGAACGACGATATCGTCGTAAACGAATGTAAAAACATTGTTGCAAATGCGTGATTCCCGGTAGACGAAATTAGAAACTCGATGGAGCCAATGGGACTGCATCTCGCGTCGAAAATTCGCGCACGTTGCTGCACTTCGACAAAGGTGTGTTATTACAGAAACGGATGAACAAAAGTGTCAAAACGTTTTCCGACAGATGTGGTAGATAAATATTCGACGATACACGGGGTAGCTCAAGCGATTTCAGCGAGTCTATCGACTCGTCGAAACGCGAGAGCTTTCTCTCGGAATTTCTCGTCGTCTCTCGTCGATTCAACTTTCGCGCGCGGATTTCGCGTTTTCGACGGACAAGGAAACTCCCTCCCCGCCGGGGGAATCAGGGATGCGTACGCGCGTCCGGTCGACTATGACGGATATATAGTTGGTGATCGGCGGATCTACAACAGTGCTGTTTTACACGCACACACGCGCAAACACGTGTCGTATGTGGCGGTCGGAGGAAGGGCGTGAGCACACGCGCGATCAGGGGCCGAGAACTCGCGGCACACCTGTTGAACATTCCTTCACGAATGCACGCGCGTGTGAGCCCACCGTCGCGCGGCGGCGGCTCTACGTGCGTCACATACGTCGTTCGTGTACGCGCGCACGCGGCCCACAGGTGTGCTCATTAATTCCATTACGTTGTCCGGTGGTGCGAGCGCGCGCGCGCGCACATTAAAGCGCACCGGGAATGGAAGGTCCGTCGATCGCGCGTAAAAAGGAGGAAAAATTATAACGAGCGGCCGGACTCTTTGAACTCCCGCGAGATCGATGCCGGCGAATTAAAAGCGCGTACATTGACACGCGTTTATCCGTCGTTCGCAGGACTGGCGCAATTCAAGTCCATCGCAATGCTAAAAACAGGCTCTTCGCCGGAAAGAAATCGGCAAAAACTGGCTTTTTCTCTCTCTATTAGAAACAATGAAATAAATAGAAATCCTTCCTGTCGATATTGTGATTCACAGGTAGTACGAGGCCTTCTGTAATAATCTTAGGTATTGTACATTTATCGTTTACTGATTAAATAGTCAGTTAACATGAGTAATATGGGTATAAACCAGCATCTTTAAGAATGCAATAAAGTTAAAATATATATAAAGTTAAGATATATATAAAAATCATCTCTCTCTCTCTCTCTCTCTCTCTCTTGGTGAAGTTACGATGAAAATAAGGAAGGAAACCGCGTTTTCGATCAAATATGATAAATACGCTGCGTTACGCAGACATCGAATATTCATGAGGGAGCTTTTGAAAAAAATGAAAAAACCGCGCATTTATATTCTTAGATCGAGATTGCATCGAATTAACGAATGAGTCGGTGATTCTATAAGGAGACAAGATACGGCAGAAAAAAGAAAAAAAAAAGGAAACATAAAACACGTGGAATACCGCGAGATACCGCGTAGACGCTTGATTTATTAGCAAAAGCGAAAAAAATGGGATACAACGCGTTTTGCTCTCGGGCGTGAATTACGGCCGTGTGGTCCGCGCGGTTAGTAATTAATTGAGATATCGGCGGCAGATAAAGGCGTCCATTTGAATTGATAATGCTGCCGCGTGCTCGCACACCAGTCGTCCGGCCGTCTCGGCGAGAAATATGGTTATTGACTTGACACGCGATCGTCGACGTTTACCGGACACCACATTGTGCGCGAACGCCAATGTATTTCATGGCGTGAGCGTGCACGGTGTGTTACCCGGTCGTCTTTACGATCGGCCAACGATCACTGGTTCAATCTACTAGACACGACTGCAGACTTTGTAGTGAAAAGGGGGACGAAACACGATGAAAAATGAGGCGATTATTCTCTGCGTCGAAAGAATCTTTGAAAAAAACAGTAACTTTTTGAATAATATATCCAATATTTTAATTTCATATTTAATATTATTTATGATTTAGTTTGGAACGAGATTAATCGCGGATGAGAGGTGACACTTGTCGATACAAGCGTTGTTTCATCGGTGCGTTTTTCTTTCTGTTCTTGTATTACAGACTATACAGACGTATACTAGACGGGACGATTTTTCTTATTTTTGTTTTTGCTACTTTAATTAATCGAGAATGGGTGTCCCAACAAACGAACGAGCGTACATAGATTCAATCTATGCATGCGCTAATATTCGTGCAATGGCCTTAATGCGCGCTGTGACAACGTCTACTTGTCAACCTTGAATCACTTTTAACAATAAAGTCACACAGGGACGAACATGAATCTCTTGTTTCATTAGGCTCGAGACTCGGTGTCGATATGAATTTTAATTAGCAGAAGCCGCGATATACGGGCGCAGCCGATAAGCAGCTTCGAATATTTCTCAATGATAAGTACTGGGCTTTTATATTGGAAATATGCGCCTTTTATCGTAGTCAAATCTCTCATCTTCTTTGATCTCCTTTCGGTCTTTTCACTCGAAAAGGAACGACTGCTCGAATGAATTACGCTCAAAGTTGACTGTCGTTGATTATAATAATATAATTTGATGGTTATAAAATTATATGATCATCCTCAGCGATACTGTTTTATC